AAAACAACGTGAAACAAATCTATTTAGATTATTTAAATGAATTAATAGAAATAATTAATCAAATTCAAATTGATTATAAATCTCAACAATTAACTGATGAAAATGAAATAAATAATTTAAAACAACTTCATCAATTTCATAGATTAATTTTATCAAAACATTATTTAATTGAACGTTTAAATTCAAATGAATTTTGTTTTATATTTTAAACAAGCTAAACATTTACATGAAATTATTATTGAATATACACATACAATTGAATTAATTTAAAATCGTATAAAACAACTTGAAATAAATCAATATAATAAATTTTATTTTGATAAACATTGTCAAAAATGGAATGATTATATACAACCTCTTGAACAATATTTACCAATTATACAATTTAATTTACATACAAATTATCAACGTTTATTAGAAATTGATATTAATTTAACAAATATAATTAATCATTTTAATCAACGATAACAACAATTAATAGAATTAATTAATCAAGGTAAACAATTAATTGAACAAAATTTAATTATTGATCAACATACATTTACTAAACTTGAACAACGTTGCCAATTAATTATAACAAGAAATAAAATATATTATTTAATTATGGTTATCATATCAAAATTATTTAGAAAATTATTATCGTTTACTTTAAAATAAATATCAATTTGAACAAGAACAATTACGATCACCAACAATTAATTTAATTAATCAAATTAAACAAGGAACTTATTTTAATTCATTAAAAAATGAAGAATTAATAAATTTATTAGAACAATATTTATGAAATAAATCGATCACTTATAACATATTCTTATATTAAAACAAAAACAATATTAGAAAAATAATCGAATGATTTACAAAGATCAGCTAATGAAATTAATATTAATATTAAACAAAGATCTCAAACACTTATTACGGTAGTCATTTTTATTTAATTCAATTGAATTTTTATTGATTTTAATTAATTCATTATATTCATATATCATTTTTCTTATCTAAATATTCTTCTATTTTAGTATCGAACAAAATCTTCGAAAGGAGAAGGTTATCAGTATAGATTAATCATCGCATCAATATTCGAAATTAGAAAATACAATAAAACATCATTATCAATTATTTTCCTCATTTATTTTCAGTTCATATATATATATATATATATAGAATATTTCTTGATAGATAATATCAACGTTTGTGCATGTTTATTGATTTGCTCTTATTCTTCGAAACGATGCATGATACTTCTTAACTTTAACATAGATTCTGCTCAATCTTTTATTCCTGCTCATCTGCTTATCATAGGTTGTTTTTGTTTTAGATAGAAAGTTTTTCCAGTTAAAGAAGGAAAAAAAAGGAGAAATTTGAAAATTGCCTGTTTTGTTTTTTTTTCTTATATTTATAATAAAATCATATTTTTTTAAAAATTTTTGATAGTTATTGGTTCGTTATAATGAACTTGATCATGCATTGGATGATGTAAGTATTTCAATAAAATCAATTCGTACACTTGAATAACAACCAACAGATGAATTTAATCAATTTATTTTACAATGTCAAGTAAATAAAATTTCATAAATAATAAAAGTTAAAAATAATAAATAAATTTATTTCGAGTAAAGATCGTGAACTTACACAAGATCGACATGAATTAGAACGTTTACGACAAACAATAAGAGAAGTAATTCTATTTACATTATTAAAATATATATTATTTTTAAAAAAAAATGTTAGATATCTCCTGAACTACATCCTGATGATATAGATCAATTAATGCAAAAATTAAAGTAATAAAAGCAAAAAATTAATATTTTTATTATTGATCAATTCTTTTTTTTTTTGTTCTAGTGTACTTGAAATTCAATGGACTGATGCTGAACGTATTATAAGAACATTAATTGATAATTTAACAAAAAAACGTTCAGAATATCATCATTTTGAAAATAAATGTAAACGTCTTATTCAATCGTTTGAACATTTTCTTAATATTGAAATCAATCATCGTATTGATGGTTTAACACTTCAAGCAACTCTTGATATATTAAAAACTGAAATACGATATGTAATTTGTGATAAACGACGATCTGTTAATGATTTAATTATAGGAGCACGTGTTTTACAAAGACATATAACTGATCAATTAAAATTACAAACATAAAAACAACAAATTGATCGATTAGAACAAATACTTAATAGAACAGAAGAAGATGTTGAAAAACGGTTTGTTTTATTCTCATTTAAAAACAAATATTAATCTTTTCATTATTTTTCGAATTAAAAAGAGTGGAATAGTTCTTAAAATGTTTGATGATTTTGAACAAGGTTTAGAAAATCTTCGTTCATCGATGGATACTATTGAAACAAATTTACAAAAATCATTATCAATAAATACATTAAATGCAAATCAATCACGTGATCATCAACAATCTATTATTCTATGGAAAAAAAAAGACTCTACCGGGTGTGATGATCACCTTTGAATTGAAATGTCACCTATATCATTTTCTAGACCAGTTCGCAATGCATTCAATCGTATATAGAAGATGACATTTTCACTAAACAATTTTCTATAGAATCCACCAACTAGTATACGAACTCTTGGTGAATATGTGATTTTCTATACACTACTGTACATATCGTCAATTGCTCTACACAATGATAAAGATAGAAAATCCGTTAGCGTCAAACAAACTAAAGAAAAATATTTTTGAAATTTTTAGGGAATCGAAGGAGATATTGAAAAACATACTACTATTGTTAGTAGTGTTCTAGCACTTGGTCATAATTTATTAAGTTAAATTGATATTCGTTGACGAAATATTAATTCAATACTACGAACAATTCAATCAATTGAACAACGTTGGACATCATTCAAAGATTTAAAACGAAAAAGAAAACTTGAGTAAAGAATTTATTCATTTTAATAAAATAAAATATTTCATAAATGATAGATTGGATACACAACATCTATCATGGAAAAATGTTGAAGATGCAATAAAACGTGCATCAACAAATGATTACTGATCATCAACCATTTCTTAATCAAGTTAAAAGAACATGTCGACAAGGTTTACAAGGTGTTTAAAATGAATACAAAACTCTTGAGGTTTGAGATTTCAAAAATTTCTTTTTTTTTTTCTAACATTTTCTTATTTATTTAAATTTTTAAGAATTTTAAACGAACATTAGATAATGATGAAAAAGATATTCAACAAATAACAGATAATTATTCAGATATTATTCGAAATCATCCAAGAGCAGATTCTACAGGAGAAATTCGTTGAAAAATTAAAGAAATTAATACTCGTTGGGAAATATTAATTGGAACAGTACATAAAACAATGAAAAATCTATTTAACAAAAAAAAAGAAAATTCAATTTCATGTTTTTTTTATTTTTATTATTATTTTAGCTTAAATATATGTTAAGTGTACATGGTCATTTTCAATTAACACAAGATTCATTAGCAGTTTGGTTAACTGATTTCGATGTAGTTTTAACTAATCTTGAACATTTATCAGAACCACCATCAAATGAAAAAATTCGACAATTAGATGTATTATTTTATTTTATTGTCTTTATTAAAATATTATTTTCATTTTAAGGATATCGATCGAGAAATTCAAGAAAAACAAACTAAAATTGAATATGTTCGAACATGTCCTAATTATTTACTTAGTAAAACAATTGATGCAAGAGGTTTAACAATTAATATCAATGAATTAACAAAATTTTGTTAACAATTAAGAGATTTGACAAAACCTATTAAAAAAGTTAAACAAAAATAAATGAATTCAAGTGATGTAAGAAATAAAGTTAATGGAAGATATTAGATAGTTTAGATATTTTGTTTAATTTTTAGCATCATTTAGATTTAATTACTTCTGATCGTTCTTCACCACCTCATCAAACATTTTTCTCTACATCATCAACACATAAACGTTTACCTTCACCAACATCATCAAGTAGAATTTTAATTTTATTGTTTTATTATTTTCATTGATAGGATCTCGTTCACCTCAACGTTATTTTCGTTTACGAGATCGATTTATTCGTTCATATGATCAAATAGAATTGGCTGATCAATATCAACGTGCTCACGAACTTTTATCTGATTTTGAAGATATTCTCCTTCAAATTAATGGTCATTTTCTTGTCAAAGAAGAAACATTTCGTTCTGAAACACCAATTTGTGTTCATGTTGAAGATTTACCTATTGAATTTACTTATGTAAAAGAATCTTCTTTTTTTCGTTTTAAATAAAATAAAATGAAAATTCTAAATAATTCTATTTAGACTCGAATATTAACAACAACAACACGTCGAAAGATTGAACCATTACGTTAAATAATTCAAAAAATTGAACAAGAATTAGGTCATTTATTAGTTGATAATCTTAATAATGATCCAGTTGTTGTTGGTAAGAATGATATAAAAATCAATTGATTTTAATTTAATAAATTGTTTAAATAGATATTATGGACAAATCGAATCGTTTACAAACATTAGCTTATGATAAAGATGAACATTTAAAATAAAATCCCCTAAAATGGAAAGATTTTAAACGACAATTAGAAGATCTTGAACAAGCAGCTGAACGATTTAGAACTCTAGATGATTTATGTAAATAAAATAACACTATTTTTTTTTTTGTGTTTCACATTTTAATTTCATCACGATTAAGTTAACAACGTTTTTTGTTAGTACCTCGAACTGTTTATCCAAAAGCAGATGCACATCGTGATCAAGTTCAACGATTAGGTTTATTATAAAAACAAATAAATTCGTTTTTTTTTGTTAGATATTATTTGAATATATTTTAGATGAATTTCAAACAGTTTTAAAATCAACAATGGATCTAGATGATCAATTTAGTGATGATACAAGTCAATGATTATTGATTGATTATCGTCTTCAATCAATTAAAGAAAATTTTCAATTTTTATTTCCTAGAAAAAACCGTGAACATCGATAAATCAAAGTAGATATTTTAAATATTTTTTTTTTCGAATAATATATTTTGTTTTTAAATAGACAAATTTTATTCAAGCAGAAGATATAAAACATCCTATGTTAGATATCAATTTACAATTAGATCATCTTCAATCATTAACTTATTCATTAGAACTTGTTGATCAAAGAGAAATAAATATAAGTATTTATCGTAGAAAACTTAATCGTTTTATTCCTATTCATGATCATCTTTAAATACTTGATCAATGTTTAATTAATATAAATTATCGTTTTAAATCTCTTTTATCTGATGATCAATTACGTATAACAAATGATTTAAAATTAATGTTTGATCGTTTAAATTTATTAAAACGAATTGTTTAAATTTATCTTGAACGTTTAGAAAAATGATTAGCTAAAAATGATTTATATGAAAATTTTTCATCAATAAATCATTCACCAATTAGAACATCAAATAGCAATCTTCAAGTAACAAAAAAACGTATTTTATTAGATTTATTATTATTCGTTTTTTTTTTGTTTACCGTGTCTATCAATAATTATTTATTCTCTTTATTTATTTCAATTAACAGTCAACATTTCCTTTTGTTTCGTATCGATTTTTATTCTTGAAAAAACATTTTCCTAGTTATCAGAGTTTTATCATTATAACATTCTATTATGTCAATTTTCTCTTTTTACGTTCTTACATCTTTTTTTTTTTTACTCTTACATAAGCATGTTTTTCTTTTATCTATACGAATATATAATAGTTTTCAACAAAAATCAACACCGAAATCATTAGTTTATTTGATTCAATTTGTAAATATTTAATTTAACTAGAGAAATCAATTTATACATTGAAGAGAAATCATCAAAGTTTTATTTGTTAAAGAATGATAAAACTTATTTGAAGAACAAACGAAAGATTAATTCAATATATTTTATCCTCATTTCCAGAAAAAACGAAGACTCAACTAAACTAAAAGTATTTTTCCGAAGATCGAAAGGATAAAGTCTAGAAACGAGAATTGATCTATCTATGTCTGTCTCTAACATAGTTACCATATCGTATCTCTGATACAAATCACTGCACAGGATAACAAAAAAAAGGCACCTACGCATTAGAATTCAAATTAACTCAAGAGTCTTGATGCCAGCCGGATTGGAGATAAATATTCTGAACAATGTCTCAATCTTGAGAGGAGACTTAAGCTTTTCTTTGATAATCTTTCATTACTTTCGGTTCAACTAATTAATTACGAAAAAATCGAGGTATTCTGGTCTGACAGAACATGGAGAGTGAATCAAAGGCCTAAATTCAACCTGAGATGTGGTCAAAATGGTGTACATACTATAAATACCTCACCTATTGGATTAGTCAAAAACTGGACAGGTCAATAATGATCAATAAATCCTTACTAAATATTTGCCAAAGAGTTGCCATGATAAACTTCTGTCGCATTTATAGAATGACATCTTCTGAGCTTCATAGGATGTTGTTCTCCTGATATATTCTCTCCATATTCACCTGGCTTTTCCCTATTTTCCTCCTTTTCTCTGAATGCCAACGTAGACAATTAGCGCATTTCTATTCTACTTGTGTAAAACGGGCTTTACATTGTCAGCACTAGCCAGATGAACTATTCGAGTTCATATTCAACGAATTCTTATTAGTTAATAGATATACGGGACATTGGAATAAATATTTTTTGTAGGATTTGCTCAATCAAAAGATGAAGAATTGCTTGCAGAGCAACTTATCCGTAACTTACATAGAAATGAATGGCTAGGAGAAATTCAGAAAGTTCAGACTCTTCGTAGGACTAAATGATTCAACAATCATGTAACAGTTATCGAAAAATGCTTGTTTTAACCTGTATATATATATCACTAACGTATCTTGACCCCCGTCTGTTTCTTCACTCCTTTCATGGTGTTTAACCCGTCCTCGTCTTACTTCTTGATCCCCCGTTATGGTCACTCTCTCACTTTTATCAATTCTATTATTTTCTTTAAATGCTCTCTTTCCTATATATAAATGTAAATTCTTCGTACTGACAAGTCTCATGTCAGCCATCGATTCTTCTTAGGCAGCGAAATAAAAAAAAAGAGGCTTGATGAATGACAGTTGATAAAGATTTGACAGTTTGAGAGATATATTGTTGGGAAAATGATTCGTCAATAGCAGACATACAGTGTATACTCATCGAGAAATATCTCCTAAACGAATCCCATAAGCAAATATGCCGTAGTATACTGACTCTCCGTGTTAACAAAAAAAAACAAGTTAAATCGGCTTTTTAGGAAGCAGTTTTGAGCTATAGGAAATCTAATTATATTATTCGATGGAGCTCGTCGAGTTGTACTTCGAACAAGAATAGTCATATTGGAACAAGTTCCTCGACGAATTCTAAAAGGAATACTCGAGCCTATAGACAAGTTCACACATATCGAAGTTTTTCAAATATATCAATGAATAATCATTTATATGCATACAGTCATAGTCTCGGAATAAAACCTATAGATTTCATTCTCATATTATTTTACTGATAGTAGAGAAAAACCTACTTTATCCGAGACTTCATGTGTTTTTTTTCTTTTCTATTTATTTAATATTGCATTTGAATGCATTACTCTCTTCATCAGTTGTACCAAAAAGAAAAATCATTATTCAAAGGTTAATCTACGATCTGCTAGTAATGACCAATGACGATATTATTTTGTCGTAGTCGAATATTATAAACACTATTCAATCAAGCATAATGACGTCATCAACATATATAAATCTTAGTGCTGTTGTTTGCCAAATAATTAATATGGTTGATTTTATTTTCTTTGATTCTGTCAGTAGTTAATTTCTGAGTAGATATAAAAGTGAATGTTGTTTTTGTTTCTTTCAATTCTCAAAGTATAATGCATAGACTTTGTTGATCACATTTTATCGACGCTTACTCAATTTCAACTGAAAACTATAAAGAAAAAAAGTCAATAATTATCTAACGAAAAATATCTTTATTAACGAATAAAGAATAATGCCAAAAAAAGGTCGAACAAATATGAATTTGACTCCTAACGGGTAAAATTTTTTTTAAAATAAATTATATTCAGCCTGTCATAGTTTTTTTTTTAAAATATAATTCTAGAATGTGATATACTTACAGCAAATGCTAAACTTACTGAGGAAGGTAAAAGAAATTTGACTAGATATTGAACTCTTCTATTTTGATTTATTTTCATAAAACAGAAATTCGAGAATGGCATACAGTATTTTCTATTAATTTATATTTCTTCGAATGAACTATCCAAATGATCGATCGTTGGTTTTTGTTTTCATTTCCAGGATTTTCTTCGTCAATATCGATCAGATACACTTGATAAAAAGACATTTATTGATTATTATCAGAAATTACATCGACATGATTAAGCAGATATAACGTAAGAATAATTATATAAAATTTTATTTCATTTTTTTATTGATAATATTTAGAGAAATTTTTGATTGAATCAATATAAATTATGATGGTACAATTCATTTCAATGAACTTCTTCTATTAATTGCTATTAGAAAAAAATTAGGCAACTTAGAACAAAGACTTACATTTCTATTTGATTTGTTAGTATTCATTAATTATTGATTTTGCTTTTTTTTATTGTTTTTATTTAGATGGGATCATTCCGAACGATGGAGAAATTTATCGAAAAGAGAACTAACTAATTTAATATCAGTTATGGTTAAATTTCTTTTGCATTTTGTTTTTCATTCGATAAAATAAGATATTCTGTTCTTATAGTACTACCGTGCTGGTATAACTGATCAAAAAGGTCAATCGGATACAAAAAAAAAAACGTGCTAAGGAAATCATTGCTAAACTAGAGATTAGTGGTGATAAGAAATAAAGTAAACAAGAATTTGTTAATGGGTATGATTTTTAAAAGAAATAATTTATCAATATTTTTATCATTTGTTTTCTCAGATGTATCAATGATCCAGTTATTTGTGGTCTATTAGTTCCATGTTGTTAATAACAATTATACAATCTCTTTATTTATTGACAAACAACAAGCGAACATAACAAAATACACTTCGAGTTTTTTTTTTTTTTTTTTTGTAAACTTTTTTCATTATTATGAAAGAAAATATCGAATCTGTCAATGAATTTAATTGACTATTATGTTAAATATTGATTAAAAAAAAATATTTTTTTCAATCTAAACTTTATTCGAGGATTTAAAGGAAAAACTAGAAGTGAAAGAGAAATCTATGATATTTTCATCTTTGTTGAATAATATAAGTTTATACAAAACTTTCTTCATAATCCTATCGAAAATAAAACCTCTACTAGTCAACGCTTGCTAAGTTTGAGGGAGGAATTTTGTTGCTAGGAATGTTTCTCTCTCTAATCTGAACAAATTCTTATTCTTAACAATGAACATTTTTTAATGTTTTCCTTCTTGGATTATAATTAACACTAATTGATATCGATAGTGATTCAAAAGTAAAAAGACAAAAATAAGACATCAAATCTTGTGTTGTAATTGAAAAACGTTCCTAAGATTAATGTTGACCTAGATATTCGGGAAGAGTTTCTTCATTTCACGATTAATTTCTAAACTGAACATGCCTTTATAGTGAACATTTTTAGCGGTCTTCATCATGTTTGCAATGGAGAAGTTTTACTATATTTGAAAGATAAAGTATTTTTCATCTATCTGTTTCATTCATTTTTTCTATTATTAAATGAATATAAGGAAAATATCCATCCATTTAAAATAAAGTTAAAGAATTGAGTCATATTCTATTGAAATATTGATTAAAACTATGCGGAATTACTGAAAAACAAGAACATAGTTAATCTCTTCGTGTCAGATTGGATTTCTACTCACTAGTTAAAATTCCTAACTATCTAATCATTTTGTTTTTAATCAAATCTAGTAAGTTATAGGTAATCAACCATGCTAATTACGAATATCAATACGCAACTTTCTGTAAAGATCAATAAGGAAAGGAAAAGAATTATGCTTCTGGTGGCTTCAGTGGTAGTTTCCTAACGAGCTCAACTTGACGTGCTTCACAATCTAGATGAATCAAAAAAGGTTTCGACGGAAAAAGAGACTTTCCAGTAATCAGTCTCTGGAGTTCTAGTTGCCAGTGACGTATTGATATTCGTAATTAGCACGGTTGATTACTTATAATCTACTAGGTGAAAAAAAAAGCGATTATACAGTCTGGGACCTTCTCTTATCAGTCTTCGATCAACAAAGGATATTGATATAAGTAAAATCATTTTCTGGTTTATTGATCGCAGTACACTCATACTTTTCCTTAACCAATTATTTCATATTGTGGTTTATGTTCACGTTTCCAATTAAATATAATTTTATTTTCATTATTAGCTAAAATAATATCTTGTTTAGATAAGATCAATTACTGATTTTTGTGTGTTTGACGAATATATTATTTGAATATCCGATGTTACACGGAATAAAACTTTGTCTTTTTCAGTTTGATGAAGATATTTAAATTCGAAACAATTTCCATTATATGAAAACATTTGACAAAAAAAAAATTTTCCAATAAAAATTACGAAAAAAGAAAATATAACGTTTTTAAAATTCCATTGAAGTCTCGTAGACTCTTTCATACAAAATCGACAGTGAAAATGGCAAAATTCCTTTCTTTTTAGTTGCCATACCACAACAGAATAAATTATAGTCACATCATATTTCATCTGTCTAGGTATATATCTTCTAATCGAATTAGCCATCGATCATTTATCTTCGGTCTCTTCGGGATATTTTAGGTCTAAATAACAATTCGAATTATAACTTTAATTTATCAACGTTTCATATGGCATCAATTTACGTATGGATTTACACAAATACTTGAATAATAAATAGTATTTCATGTTAATATGAAACCTGAAACTTCATTACAAGTATATTTAAAAAGAAATTTCTTTTCAAATAGAATTTGTAATGATCAAAAAAAAAAGCGTAGTGAAAGATATGTCAAATATGGTAATAAACATAACAGAAATTTCAAAAAAATATCCTTTTTTACATAAACATTTCTAATTTTATTATTCATATATAGTTGAATGGTTGTTTACTTTGATACCATCTGCTAATATACGATGTATTTCTGATGGATAATAAATGATATCTATGTTATTATTAATATGGTTGATATAAGCCTTTTTCTTCCAAAACTATTCCTTTGATCGTTTATTTGTAGAGAGAACGATTGATTTGAAAATAAACTTCTGTCATTAAGATGAAATAGATTGGAGATTTTATTTAAATATTTGAAATAATACATGTCTTGTATGTATTATCGTTCTAGAAAAGACTTTATCGTATCAATAATTCTTATCAGATGAAAACGACATACTCGACTTTTAGACTTTGTTCTTAGGATTTCTATTGACGTCATACTGCTCAAGTGATTATCAACAAAAGGTTCTATTATGCTTTAACGATCGAAAAATAAAACAAAAAGAAGAAAAGAAAAAAACAACTGTAAATCACTATTCTTGCCTTATATCACGATGTATACTCTCAATATTTTAATGTCAATCGATTATAGTCGAAAGAAATACAAAAACAATAGACATGCCGATCAGGTCTCCACTAATGAGGAAACGTCTCCTAGTGTCAAATCGTTTTTTTGAACAAGACGGTATTCATTTGATGACTAAGAGAAAAATCTAGAATGATTTAGTTTTGCTGGCCTTTCTTTTCAAGACGTCAAAATTTAACTGGGTTTTTCAACAAAAAGTTGTGGTCACATGAAAAATCGACTTCGAACTTTACATGAACAAATTTCTTAATGAGATTAGTTGATTGTGCAACAAGTATTTTCTTTTTCAAGATCGAAATATATGAATAATATTTGCTTTTACACCTGAGAGAATTTTGAATATTCCATATCTCAAGATAGGAAGGAGATGCTAGAAAAGTTACAATTTTATTCAATAAACTAATCTAATTGAAAACTTTGTTCATGCATAGTATGAAGTCAATTTTTTTACGTAACCACAACTTTTTATTGAAAAATCCAGTTAAATTTTGATGTAAGGTCTGGAAAACAAGATCATTCTAGACCTTTCTATTACTCATCAAATAAACATTGTCTCAGTCAAAAAGTGATTTGAGCCCTTAGATCAAATTCAAATTTTGGAAATCAGGAGTTTTTTTTGTAAAAAATTAGGAGGCTTTTCTTTGAAGATCAAAAGCCATTCGGTAGTTTTTATCTGAGAAGATCCAAGTTTTCACTCGTATATGCACTTTTCTCATTTCCAAATCAAGATGGTGGTTAAAAAATTTTTCTTATAAGTGAAATAAAATTAGAAAAGATTGATAATTTCATAAACGTTTATTTTAATAATTATTTCATAAGCAATTATAATGCAAGTCAAAAGCCGGCTACCATTCTTTTGTTTTGAGTTGTGTATTAAAACTACACAACATTTATTTAATTTGTCTACATGTTTCTATATTAGCAAAGTATTCAAAAGACTTTTCATTTTATCAAACTCTGTAGAGCTTTTTTCACTGGTCATTTTGATTAAAAAAAAACATTTTGGATTTTATTGAGAAATGATGATGTTATAGGCAAAATATTAAACACTGTGAAATATCGAGTGTCCCAAAATGTTTGCAACATAGTTTGTTTTGCGAATATCTTTGCACAGCTAAATGATAAAATCTTGATTTTTTTTTCAAAATATGTGCTGTCGAAAACTCTATAAAATCTGTAGAAATAATTTCTATTGCAAAACAAAAAGTACTTAAAGCATTTTATTATCATTTGTTGTTGTTGTTGTTGTATTTTATATTCAAGGACTTTTCGTATTATACAGATATATACATAGGTATTATTAGACCTCTACTATATAGGCATATAGACAAATTAAATTAATATTGTGTAGTTGTAATATACCACTCAAGACAAAAAAGTAGTATCGAACTTTTGACTTGCAGTGTATTAGAATACATAAAAAATAGAAAATCAAAGCTAACATATCATATATTAAAAATGAAAACATAAAAGTAAAACAATCTATAACCAATTTACTAAACTATTCGTGGCACTTTTGCAATATGACTATACTTATCTGACGATCGAATCTCTTTCAAAAAATCTCGTTTATTTAAAAGATAATTATAACACTGTGTACAGCTATAATGTGTATTCATTTTAATCTTTAATTCAACTCCAACTAAATCCTATTTGATTCGATTTCAATTATTATTCGAAAAATATTTCATATGACTAAAAGCTAGTTGACAACGAAAGGCAATCTATATCCTTATTGATGATTATATCCATTAAACACTCCGATAGATCTCTTCTCTCTTTCAAGTC